CCGCCCCAACTGCCCTACCATCGGTGGCCGGGCCTTCAGCCTCTCAGCCCCCAGGCTCTGGAACTCCATCCCCCAGTGCCTTCGCCGCCTCCTCCCTTTCTTCCTTCAAGGCCGGTCTGAAGACCTTTCTCTTCAACCATGCCTACAGCTCCCCTCTCGACTCTCTACCCCCTCCTCGCTCCTTCCCTTCCCTCACCCTGACCATTTCCCCCCTGCTCGGGTACCGATCCAACTGTCCAGTGCCTTGGGACGTACCCCCGACATAAAATGCGCACTATAAATGAAATCTTGTTGTTGTTCTTCCCCTTCCCATTTATATTAATAAATTTAATTGGTCTTCCAGATAAATTGGTCAATTACTTCATGCTTTCTTGTGAGACCTTGCTAAATGTCTGTCTTGTTCACCTACAGAAACAATTACTGCATTGACCGTAATTATTGTGAAATGCTTTGCGATAGCTCAAACTGATGCGGTGCTATAAATACACACATGATCCTTCTTTCTAAAAATCAAGAGAATCCCCATAAATACGTATCTTACTGAATTTTTGGCCACTGTCCGCCCCTTCTCTCTCACAAATCTGTTCAGTACAATGCAAAAAGTTAACCTTTTCAAGCTCAGGCAACAAATACACAATAACATCATCTACAAATACACGGTCACTACACTTCACAGTAAAAATCCTGTGAGCACTTTGCAACATTTCAAAAACACAAGGCACTATGAACTGCAAGGATTATTTGTATTTATTAATTACCAACAAGCTTTTCATTAAGATAGGGCAACAATCCTGTTCTAAACCAACATCCACACAAGCATTTTATAGCTGAGATCAATGGACTGTAATCAAAAGCAGAAACCTTTTGGCTGTCTAAAAACTGAGGCTGATTGTAACTTCCTAACTGATGCTCCACACAGACCTAGATTCAAATCTTTTGGTCTGTATAGCCTAGTGCTACTCCGAGTAATGTGTTCACTCAACAGGTCATTGATATTAACAATGTACAATACAAAATTACATTTGTAAAGCACCTTTCACATCAGGACGACGTCTCAAGGTGTTGAACAGGAAGGGATTAGGAGCGGGGGGTAGGATCAGGGAAGTGGAGGGCGGGGAACGGTGGCTAAAGGCATGGCAGAAGAGGAGGGTCTTGAGGCGTGCCTTGAAGGAGGCGAGGGGAACGTGGAATGGAGTTCCAGAAGGTGAGGGCAGAGAGGCTGAAGTCCGTCCGCCGATGGTGGTCGGAGAGGTAGGAGGAAGCAAGGCCACGGAGGGCTTTGAAGGTGAGGATGAAGATTTTCAACTCAAACCACTGAGGCTTGGGAAGTCAGTGGAGCCGGGCGAGGGTGGGTGTGATGGGGTCACGGAGCCTGGTGCGGGAGAGGACACAAGCTGCTGAGTTCTGGATGATATGCAGCTTGTGGAGGTAAGAGTTGGGAAGCCTGACAAGCAGGGCATTGGCATAGTCGAGCCTGGATGTAATGTATGAGGGTTTCGGCAGCCTGAGAGGTGAGGTAGTGGCGAGTCAGGCAATATTATGGATGTGGGGAAGGGAGAGCGGGTCATGGAACGGATATGTACAGTTGCAAATGCTAAGATAATGCTTCCATTCCATATTATTGTTGTTTGGCAAATATTTTAATGATGAAACTTGCACAACTCAGTTGCCAACTTGGAGATATACTGCCAAGGTTAATCAGTACCCTCCCCCATCCCAGAACATGGCATCTTACTGGTGTGAAGCTGCTTCTATTCTAATAAAGAATCTGATCTTTCAGTATTAGATTTGCCAAATATTAAACACTGCCAAATATTAAACATATTGGATGTGTTTAACCTCTAGACTGACGATCTCAATGCAGAGCTGGTGGAGGGTGGGGCCGGTGCTGTGTCGCTGGAGTTAATGTCCTTTGGATGATATGTTAAACCAAGGTCCTGCTCACTTGTCCCTATACTTTACTGTTAACCCGCAGATAATATTCCTCATAAAGGATGCTATATAAATGCAAGTTATTTTGTATTAATATAGATAATAATCCTTGCATTTGATATAGCACCTTATGTTGTTGAGACATCTCTAAGTGCTTCACAGAAGTTTCTGTGAAATGTAGCGACTACATTTGCAAGCAAACACAGCAATGTCCCACAAACACCCGTGAAGTGAATGACCAATTTATATCTGGAGAATTATTTGTCACAAATCGTGTGAAGCACATTGAGACTCCCCCCACGCCCACACGGCACTACATCAAATGCAAAGGTTATTATTATTATAGTAGCACCCATCATTCTGTCACTTTGTTATTTCACATCATAACTATTGAAGAAAAAAAACTAAAGATCAAACCATCCCATCAACAACAAACAACAAATTGCATTTATATAGCACCTTTCACGTTGGGAGGACGTCTCAACAATTTAGTGCTTTACAAACATTGCCAGTTAGACCACATGGAGCTTTACTGCAATAGTCTGACTGTGTTTGCCTAGAGCAAATGTAAAGACGAAACACCTCCCTCTCATACGACATTAATAAGGAGACATTGCATCCAGTAGTGGAGTAATGCCAGTGGGTAAACTGGATTTACTGCCTCCTTTCACTATTCAATGTGCATTTGTAGGAATCACACTTCTGCATGCACAGATCTGGGTCCTGATGTTATGGTGCCAGTGCCTGCTTTCAAATCTTTTGGGACATCATATTAGCAGAAGTAGAGGGTATCTGCAATTAACACAGCAGCAATTCACAACCCAATCCACCTTCTCCAGTGGTCCTCACACCTCATTCCAGGTCAGCAGGAACATCGGGACTTTTACGTTGCACTTTTTAAGTGTTGAAATCAATATGAAAACCAAGTCAAATCATTGCTAAGTACCATACAAAAGGGTCTCAAGTGGAATGGTTGTTTTCTATTGTTGCACCATTGTGCTATAAACAAAAGGTTAAGCAGTCACACTCGGGACAATATGTAAGTGTTATCAATTAATGAATATAAGAAGACAATAGGATTAATCTTACAAGAGCCATCTTTTCACTAAGTTATACCTGGATCATGCACTGACTGCAATCTCAAATGAGTAAACAAAGGGTTCTCTATGTGCTACCACACTACGTCACCACACCCAGTGGTGAATTTCCCAGTGGATAACAACATTTGATATAGTGCCTTATCATGTCGTCAGGGTGTCTCAACTTACTTCACAGGAATGGCTTTAACTATCCATTTTGTAGACATACCGAGCAGCTAATTTGCATACAGCAATGTTCAAAAAAAAATCCATGAAGTGATTAACCAATTTTATTTGCGAAATTGTTGCCCGGACACTGGGAGAATCTCTTCTCTTTTCAAATAATGCTATGGGATCTTTAATATCCATCTGAATAGGCAGAAATTTAATGTCTCATCCAAAGGACAGCACCTTCAACAACAACATCCTCCACCACTGTATTGGAGTGTCAGCCTGGACTATACGAGTTCAAATCGCAATCTTCTGACTCAAGAGGCGAGAGTGCTAGCACTGTCCTAAGCTGACAGAAATTTGTTGGGACACATGGAGGTAACACTCTGCTTCAAAATGGCCAACATTTACAGAGTTACACCACCATTTCATCAGACTATGTGAGAGTCTGTAGCATGTGATGCACCTGGGCCTTTTCACTTCTGCAGCCAATGCAAACCCAAACCTGAAGCCAAATAATGAGACATGGGTCTCAGCATCCCCTACCATTATTTAGCTGCAGGCTCAGTTCTTCAGAAGTAAATGGGCACTCTGAGGTCCCCAAGCTGTGGCTCTTGCCAACCTGAATCTAATACTCTCCAGAATGACGTAAGTAGAATGTGTTCCTCCAGGAAGAAATGCACGTTCCATTTCAATAAATATCTTCAGTATTTCCACATGTAGGTGGGACGCATGGAACTCTTCAGCTTGGTTTGGATATTTTTAAGCAAGATGGGTTTCCTCACGTGTCAGACATTCGGCTGACCAAGTAAAGAAGCAAATGGACAATGTGCGCAATTCAAGAACTATCAATGAGAAACAGTGAATGGAATGGGGAAGTGGGCACCACACGCGAGTCTGACAGCTGGAAAGTACACAATGAGAAAGTGCTCATGTCTGCCTGCAAAATACAAAGTCACTACACTTTGAGATGCTTTGATCTGTCATCCTGATGTGAAAGGCACTGTATCAAATGTAAGGATTATTATTAATTATTATGACTTTTTAACCCATCTCCATTCTACCTGTTCTATCCTTTCACATCAAAGCTGTAATGGGAAGGGTAAGGTCTCAAATATAAAAATGATGCATACAGCACAGAAACAGGTCATTCAGCCTTGAAAGTTGCCCTCATAGTTCACCGCTAACTGTGGCTCATCTCAGCTACAATAGGAGTGGAGGGAACTCCAGTGAGAGCAATGTCTTTGTGCACCTGGGTTAAGGCAGAGAAGTCCAGTGTTTCCAGCCTCAGTTAGTAAGTAAATAGTGACCTACGTTTTAACTGTCGGGACATCGGGCGACAACAGATGTGGGCCGCAATCCACCCGGGTGGTGCACTGGAGGGCAACCCAGAACCTACTGAGTCCAGTCACTACAGTTTGCAGCGAACTCCTGTGAAGCATTTTAAGATGCCCTCCGGACGTAAAAGATGCTTTATCTAATGCAAAAATTATTATTATAACTGCACCCCTACAGAGTCCTATTCAGAAGAACTGGGACAAACACACGCAAGACACACATTCTGGCACTGCTGCAACTCTGAAATCCCTCGGACTGCTCTAGCTCCAGGTGTGATCAATCACTGTAGAGTGGAAGGACAGGAGTACTGGATGAATGACATCTAGTGTTTCCTGGGCCAATTGTTCTCCAGATCACGAGCATCGTGCAAGCAAGTCTTTAAAAGGCATCAAGTCGAGTCTTGTCAACATTGATCAATGTGGGTTCTGCAACTGAATTTGTCAGCTTAACATCGCAGTGTTTCCTTTAAGACTCACTCACCTGCAACACAGACATTTGCGCCTGCCAGGACAGTTGTGTTTTCTCCTGTTCGGACGGATATGCCTTATAACGATGCTCGTACAGCCAGTCCCTCAGAATCCGCACCGACTCCTTGGGCAAGTTCCCCCGGCGGCGACGCTTCCCGGAATGAGAGAGATCGAGGGGGATCTCCAGGCTGTCGTCCTCCTCACTGTCGCTGCTGCACGCTGGTCCCATGGCTGTGAATCAAACGACACAACTTGAAACAACAGCTCCGGATAGAGAGCTCAGCCAGGGAGCAGCCTCCAACCCCTGCACCAACCAACACGTACACCCTTAACCCATTCCCTCCCAAGCTGTCAGCCGGCTCCTGGTCTGGGCTGCAAACACCCTGGGTCACTTTGTGAGTGAGAACTTAATGCTGCATTCTACAAAGCCATGCTCTGTAGAGGGGAATCAAGAGTATTTTCTCTCCCACACACACGGGGAGGAAAATGTAATCGTCTCACAGTGATCATTTTTGCTCATGTACTTCCCTCTGATCTGACCTCTTACGATGTGTAAGGAGGAGACCTGGGATTGACAAGCCATGCATTTTGGTGCCTCTTCCCTGAGGTCTATAAACATAACTCGAAGATCATTCCTGAAGTTATTAAATCAGCACAGGCCACCCAATTTGAAGAAAGTATTTTAAAATAAGTAAGTTTCCTCTACACACAAAAAAAATCCACAAGGTTTTAATTAAGATAGTTTACAAAGCGCCAGCTCCCCCTCTCCCTCTCATCTCCTCAGTACATAAACTCTCTGTGATGTTATTTACTGATCGACAAGCCCCAGCGGGCTGGGCTGCTTTCAGGGCAAATCCGTTAAATATCAACCCTGGCGCTGTGTGGGGGGGAAAAAAAAAGGCAATCTCTGGTTGGCTAAGTTTGAATTTGTCAACCCGATTAGACTGCCTTCCTGCCAGTCCATTTGTAAAGTGATACCTGCTCTCCTCCACCATTCCCAGCAGCCATTATCTGTTTGACCCAGAACAAAAGAACACAAATCGCCCTAAATGAACCTAGTGTTTTTCCCCCTTCTCTCTCTCTCTCCCCCCACCCCCTTACGACTCCCAGGCATTCAGTTTCCCAAACAAAAAGTTAGCACATCATTTGCAAAGAGATTATGGCGAAATAAAAGATGCAGTCGTTTTTTGCTGCATTTGTTATGGGTTGTTGAATCAAATATTATTCCCACACTAAACACGTGCTCTTTACTTTCAGTTCATTGAACAAAAAACAGTAACATTTAATAAAAACAAAGGCCTAAACTCTCATCTCTCCCCACCCTGGGATCAAGGGCAACAAACAATGGTTTAAAAGACTTCCAAAGGAACTGGGGTACTTTTTTTTAACATTACAGATAATGAGAACAAAATGTGTCATTATAGGGAGAGGGGGTGACAGTAACTTTATAAAACGTGATTCAACTCCATAGAAACGCAAGGATTATCCGACAGAGCCGACATGCATTTGTAAAGAGGAATCCACATTTGACTGACTTGTCTTTTTTTTGAAGAAATCAAAATTGTATAAACTTAAGTCATCCTTTCATCTATCCGAAAATGGATAGTCTTCGAGTATCAAACTTCATTTTATAAAACACTTTCTGAAAAAACATGAAAACAATGCAGAAAATCTATTTATGTAGGAGGGAGTTTCTCCCAGTGCCCTGGCCAATAACCCCCCCAAAATATAATTGGTTCATTTGCTTCATGGCTATTTGTAGGATTTTGCTGTAGCAAATTAAGTTGCTGGTTTGCCTCCAAATATACAGTCACTATACTTCCCAGTAAAATCCTGTGAAGCGATTTGAGACATCTAAGCGATATGATAAGGCACTATATCAAATGCAGGGATTACTGTCAAAGGGTGCTGATGATTCAAAATTAGAGATTTCTTAAATAGTGGGGAAGAATGGAGAAACTGCAGGGAATTTACAAGAGAGGACAAATAAGTGACAGGTGCTATTTAACGTTAAGTGATAAAAGAACAAAGGAAGGAAATATACTTTACAATGGAGATAGATAGTACAGATAGAAGAGGCAGTAAAAGGGTATTTGTATTTGGTGCCCCTATATGCATGTTTTACTTATAGGCGCACTGAATACAAATGGAAGTGATTCTAAATTCACACAACATCCCAAAGGCCACAATTGAAAGTATACAGCTCCGGCTGTCCTTATACAGAAAGGACATCAAGGCCACAAAAAAGGTTTATAGCAAAGAGGTGAAGGTGGCTTGGAAGTTTTAGGCAGGTTTCACTAGAACACAAAACTTATGAGGAAATCTATAAATTAATTAAAGGTTTAATAATAGCGCGACTAGTGGGCCCCATCCTCGCCCGACTCCACTGGTTGTTGTTGGTGGTGGTGGTACAGGGTCAGAATTGTCACTGGTATTTTAGGGGTAGTTGGAAGAAACATTTTCAAGTGGAAAGTGACTGCAACATAGAATGTTTTGACACAACTACCTGTTAAATTATGCAAATCTAACATTTAAAAGGGAATTGGCCAACAATCTGACAAAATTAGAAAAACGACGGGGAGGGAACAGAGAATTATAGAACGAGAGCAGTTGGTTCCAGTGAAAGAGTTGGGAATGACATCAAGACTGTAATTTCCACGAGCCCGAACGTAAACATGTGCACGTTACCCCCGGAACCGAGACCGAGACGCGCTCGATATCCAAGTAAACCCGAGAAGAGGGGTGAAGGAAGAGAAAAGGAATAGTTTCGCAGTCAGCAAGGGACAGCGGCGCGCACATGGGAGAGCTGTCATAAACATCCTCTTGTCAAAAAAAAAGGAGGGAGTTTTTTTTTCTCTCTCTTGTGCGCGTTGCATTCCCACACACCCAATGCCTGGAGAGAAAGAGAGAGAGAGAGAGAGAAAAAAAAGCAGCATCCAGTTTCCTGTGTGAAAGAGACTAAAAAGTGATCCCACAGGATCGCACAGGGCCCGACAAAATGGCAGGTCCTGTGGTTCACATCCCTGCCCGACTCTTGGGGCTCTTTGCAAACGAAGCCACTGCACCTTAACACAGCAACTGAACCTGGAAACATTTACAGGACGTTCCGCACGGCTGAGCCTTTAATGTTTTATTGCAAGTGGCGGTTCCACAAAACCCACGAGATGACCGTCCCCCTCTGTAAATCATTCCTCGCATTCCGCCCACGCAAACCTTATAAGGGGCTTTTTTTTTTGCTCTCCCGAGTTTGCTTTGTGGGGGGTTCCGAACAGCTTTCCTTTTGTGGTTTTTTTTGGGTGGGTGGGGGTGGGGGGGGTTAAAAAAAAAGTCCCCCCAAAAGTAAGGAATAAATAGCAGTCGGTGCGGTGCGTGAGGTTTTAAAGTTACTCCCCAACTCACACCCCACACACACACACTACACAACACAGCGCCAGAGAAGGATCCACTGCAGTCAACTCAATCACTTCACTTCAACACCAACTTCAACAAGAAAACAGACCGGTGGGGGGGGGGGGGGGTGTTGGGGGTGGGGTGGGGGGGGGGGGGTGTTGGGGGGTGGGGGGTTGTTGGGGTCAGTCCCAAACTTTTTTTTCCCCCCAACTCAAGTCGTCTCAACACTTTTGTTGCCGACAATTTGTGAAGCTTTTTGAGAGAAAAGAGAGAGAGATTGAGACACTTCAATGCAGGGACAGAATTCCAGCGGTGGGATGGTGGGGAGGAGGAGGGGGAGGAGGAAGGAGGAGGGGGAGGAGAGGAGGATGAAGAGAAGAGAAACTTCTCCACGAGGTGAAAGCCAGAAGCTGCTTTAAACAAAGCCATTAACCCCCCACTCCACACACACACACACACACACCCCGACCCTCCCCAAACGTTTTATTTCACTCCATTCACATAAAACCACTCGATTTTGCTGGAACTCGAACTCACCCCTTTTCTCCCTCTTAAAACAAAACTTGGTATAAAGAGCTTAAAAAAAAAGTGCGCGTGTGTGTGTGTGTGTGTGTGTGTGTGGGGAGAGAGGGGGGAGAGGGAGGGTAAGAAGAAGAAAAAAAAATCAACACATACATATATACATATATGGATATTAAAATGTAATTTCAAATAAAAGATTTTTTTTGGGAGGAAAAAAAAACTATGAACCGTTTCCGACAGAAAGCGCAGGAGTTTCGAGAAGTTGGTGCAAAACATGATTCCGACAACGTGCCAACAGCATGAGAATAAAACAACACCACTCGCAGGTCACACCTACCTTTCTTAGCCTTCATCCTGCTCCAAAATGCACGTCTCCAGGCAGTCAGTTCGGGAAGGAGGAGGTCCACGAAATGGGGAGGGGGGTTGATGGTGGTGAAGAGGGTAAGGGGTTTGAGGGGTGGGGAGGGGGGGGGGGAGAGAGAGAGAAAGCAAAGGCAACGACAGCAACAGCAGCACCAAACAAAATCTTTTTTTTTGAAGTGTATTCCAATTGAGAGAGGGGGGGGGGGAAGGGGCTGGTGGGGGTGGGGGGGGAGGGGGGGAGGTGGAGTGGGGGGGGATGGGGAGGTCTGGGTGGGGGAGAGGAAGCAAAGCGAGAGGTTGGAGCTGGAGAGTGAAAACAGCTTTAACTTGTGGTGGTGGTTGAGTGAGTGAGTGTGTGTGTGTGTGAGTGTGTGTGAGAGATGCCTCTGTTCTCTCTCTCTCTCTCTCTCTCTCCAACGTGTTGCTCACTGGGACGATTTAAACAAAAGGTAAACACATCAGTGCTACCTGCCCTCCTCCCTCTCACTCACTCACTCACTCCCTCCCTCTCACTCACTCACTCACTCACTCACTCTCGGCTGCTCTCGGATCTGCTCGGCTCACCCCCTCCCTCACTTCTGACAGCTCTCTCCCCTCTGACAGCTGCTGCCTCGGTCCTGGATCCGCCCTCAATACCACGACAACAACGCAACAGAGAGAAAGAGAGAGAAAAAAAAATCCTCTTTCTCTCTCTCTCTCTCTCTCTTTCTCTCTGACATCAGATCCATTCAAAAAAAAACTAATGCAAACTTATTCGTCGGGACCAAGTAAGGTATTTATACTCCCAGCACATTTCACACGCCTGCAACAGGGAATGTTATTGTGGACGTTGCTGGAGCTCGTTAGGAGTAAATTAAAGTTATTAGCAATTCAACTGGTTGTGCATTGTGCTTTTTTTTTGTGTGTTGTGTGCTGGTTAATATCCGGTGAAACTGGTGTGGCGAGACGTTTTGATGACTGTTGGCAGATCTTCCAACCTCCCCCCCCCCTCCCCCACCCACCACCAATCCCATAGAAATAAGGAAGGCAGATCTCTGTGTCTGTGTGTGTTTGTGTGTGTACATTTCTATAAATAAATCAAAAGTTGAGTCCAACATTAAACTTTTCGAAGTCATAGCTCCTCTGCCATAGATAGCACAGATCTGATAGTTTTCAATAGAAATATCGGTGTTTGTTTTCCTCTCTCTCACTCTCATAATAGTTTTTTTTAAAAAAGTTGATTGCAACTCTTTTGTTTCACTTCCGCACTCAATAGGCTGTTCCTTTGGTTTGCACATGTCTGTCTGTCTGTCTGACTGACTATGTGTGTGTGTGTGTGTGTCTGACTGGATCTTGTTCTTGTTCTCTGAGCTCCAGCAACTCATCTGAAACAAGTTCATCAAATACTTTGGGAACTTTTTGAAACTTCCGGGAAAAGGCATCAGAACCCACAAAAGGGGGATATATATATGTGGGAGCTTTTTGTTGCCTTTTTTTAATAAAACGTACTAAACAGTTAAAAGTTAAAAGCTAAAAGTTTGGGAAACTTGTGTCAGGATTGCACCAGCAGATGTAATATATATAGAGAGAGAGAGAGGTGGGGATGGTGCACTGATCTGGATCAGTTATTTCACAGTACACACTGTCAGTAATAATTGATCCAATGCACGGTAGTGTTGTTGTTGTTGTTTGTTTCTATCCCATTACGCTCAACCATCGTGACTTTGCCGTCGTGAGGGTTTTATTAAGGAAGCGGTCAATCCTATCAACAACTTTGCTTCTTTTTAAAGTATTTGCTGAGCGGTGGGAGGTTCATTAATGGGACATCTCTTTACGTCGTCAAAAGTTCGAACCAACTTACTTTCTCAAGAAATTGCAAAAAAAACAACCATCATATTTGTTAAGGACAACAACAACAACAGCAACAAACACTTCAAATGAGAGGGGGAAACTGTTTCAAGTGACTTGACTTTTTGTCAGTTTAGTAAACTAAGAGGTTAGTTTGCAAAATGCAATAATTCTGAGTTTGTTTCTGGCTGACCTTGTAAACCACCCCGATGAGAACAGAAATAGAAGCACTTTGCATAAACAATTTGTGACTAATAGCTCTTTTTTTAAAAAAAAACAGCCCTCTGCTGTGTTGCAGTGGACACGAGGTTTTGGGGAGTTGAGGGGAAGTTGGTGTATTGTACCAAGAAGGAGCAGCTCACAGAGGCTTGAGCCTGTTGTCTTGTGAAAATTAGCCTCTTCTGACCCATTGACACACCTTCAGCCTCACCTGTCAAACTGAATGGGGGCTGTTAACACTGCACTGTCACATCAATCTTACTGACAAACTGTTAAATGTTTATGTATGTTTGAAAACTCCTCAGCAGTCAATTCACATGAGAAAAACAAGTAGAACCTTAAAATTATTGGACACATTTAACAGTCCTGGGGCAAGCCTTAGACTTTGAAAGTATGAGAACCAATTTATGGCACAGAAGACCTTTCACCCCTTCATGTGTGCGCTGGCTCTTTTAAGAACAATGTTTTCTGGCCCACTTATCTGCCTTTTCCCCTTATCCCATAGTGGAATGAGAGGCACTATATCATGTAAGTATTATTGATTATTATTACCCTTTTTGCACTTTCATTTACAATACAATATAGTGCTGTGATTAATTCAAAGTAGAACACGTTTACATTTTATAAAAAAATGTTTACAAGTCTCAGAATAAATGCTTTGGTTTTTCAGGAGACAGTTTTCTTCTGTGTGCACAGGAAGTGCCAATCACATCACTTGATGGAGGAACTGACCTCGATGGCTACCTGATGACCCAGAAAAGGGATTGTGTGTTTTTTTCACAAACCCATAATAACTCAGGCTCTAATTTTGTGAACTCAAAACACGGTACAGTCAAATCTGCTCAAACATCCAGCTCCATTCAGCAACTACCCCCTGTTAACAACCACCCAGGAACACACACTAACAAACCCTTACTCAGAAGCTGTACCTTTATAAAGGTCATTTTGGCCCCGGGCTCTGAGTGGTTGTTGAAGCCAGATTTTACTATATCTTATATACATTCACTGTAACATGGGCAGGATGAGAAATCTCATCCTGTATATATCAAATGCTCTATATCAAATGCAAGGTTTATCATCATTTTACTATATTCAGCTAGGGTTTCTCATCCTGCCCATGTTACAGTGAATGATGGTGGAAAGCGCATGTGCGTGAAGATTGTTTAGAGAAGTTGGCTATTTTGCTCTCCACAATTGAATAGGCTGCTGTTACTAAGTGGCCTCATGCATGAAAAAAAAGACCACAAATCAGTTATCTGAGGTTGTTGTGTCTATGGAAGTGCACACCAGCATAACTCACTGTTTTCAAGAGAGGAGGGGACAAAATTGGAGGAAGACAAAAATAAATAATTAAATATTCAAAATAAAATATGTTTAAATAAATAAATATTCTGTCCCGATCCCTGCAACACCTTCCCAGATTCCCTCCGCATCTCACCCCGCCCCCCCACCCTACCAACTATTAAACCTTGAGACCTTTTTAATGGCACTTTTGGTCACCTTTCCCTCCCCCACCCCACCTTCCCCAGCTCCCACCACCAGCTTGGACTCCCAGTTAGCTCTGTAAAATGCTTCAAAATATCCTCCAGATATGAAAGGTGCTGTATAATTGTAAGACAACAACAATGACAACAACAACTTGGATTTATATAACACCCTCTGTGCTGAACGGTATCTCAGAGAGTTTCACAGCAACGGATCCCGGGGCCGAGCCAGGGGGAGGGGGAGGAAGGTGACCAAAGGCGCGGTCAAAAAGAAAGGTCTTTAGCCGAGACTTAAAAATAGGAAGAGAGGGGGCGAGGCGAAGGGAGTGAGGAAGGGAGTTCCAGAGCCTTGGAGAATAGTGGCTGAGGGCACGGCCGCCGATGGTGGAGTGAAAAATTCGGGGGACAAGGAGGAGGCCAGACCCGGAGGAACAAAGGCAACGGGCATTGTTGTGAGGAGAGAGGTCAGAGAGGTAGGGGTGTGCAGAGGAGTGGAGGGATTTGAAGACAAGAGTGAGGATCTTGAAGTCGATCCTCTCTGGGACAGGCAGCCAGTGCAGTCTGGCAAGGACTGGGGTAATCGGAGAGCGGAGTTTGGTGCGAGTAAGAATGCAGGCGGCAGAGTCTTGGATGACCTGGATTTTATGAATGGTATTGGAGGAGAGATCGGTGAGGAGGGCATTTGAAATAGTCCAGCCGAGAGGCGACTAAGGCATAGACCAGGGATTCAGAGGCTTTTGGAGTGAGGTATTGGCGGAGATGGGCAATGCGTCGGAGGTGGAAGAAAGCAGTGCTGGTGAGCGACCGGATGTGGGGGAGAAAGGAAAATTGGGGGTCGAACCTGACGCCCAGTTTGCGTACGGGTTCGGAGAGTTTAGGCGGAGGTCGGGTAGGTGGAGGAGGTGAGAACCATGTGATTTTAGACATTGACGAGAACCAAAGAGTATGGCTTCCGTCTTATCAACATTTAGCTGAAGGAAATTTGCGATCATCCAGCTCTTGATGTCTGACAGGCAGGCTGACAGAACATCAGGGGACTGGAAGTCGCAAAGTGAGATGGAAAAATAGAGTTGGGTGTCATCCGCATACATGGGGAAGTGTACCCCATGTCTGCGGATGACATCCCCAAAAGGGAGCATATAGATTAGGAAGACTGTTGCAATATTCACTTTTTTTTAATTTCAGATGCTGATAAACCATCTCCAGTGGATTTCTGTTTTATTTCAGATTTTAAAAGTCAACCTAGCTCAATTGTTCACAAGTTCACCTCAGAGTCAGAAGATTGTGAGATCAAGCCACCTTTCAGAACTTTGAATTCACTATATAGGCTGATATGTCAATAAAATGCTGGAGATATGCTGTATGGAATGAGGTATCATCCTTCCAATGAGTTGTTAAATCAGAGACCCTGTTTGCTTGTTCAGGTGGACATTAAACATCTCATGGCACTATTTGAAAAGAGTGGGTAGAGTCCTGGACAACAATGCCTCCAAGTAAAATTGGTCATCCACTTCATGGCTGTTTGTGGGACATTGCTGTGTGCAAATAGTCTAC